TGTGAGCTTTGTTTTCCACATCAGGCCCATTATTTGTATTCTGCTCACATGATGATAAAGGCTGAGCCTCACCTAGGTGGCAGAAGATGGAAGTTACCTTGGAAACAACAGGAACACCTTCACTGCTCCTAGACAGCTTCCCCCTGGCTGCAGGCTTTGTACACACCAGCAGCCAGCTGGTCTCCTTTTCCTGAAGTTGCTGTTTTTCCATTGTGCCTTTTCTCCCTCGATGGGAGCCCATCACTTTGATTTACCATCTCCTGCTGCTGTGGGGCATCAGATGGGGAGTGGTGCTGCACTGGGAAGCAGCAGTAGGAGTTTGGCTTGCTTGCTTTTACACAGCTCAGATGTCCCTCTAGGTCACGCCAACCCTTCATTGCCCTGACAGGAGAAGTACAAAACAGCTGACCAGAAAAAAAGAGGACTCCAAGCAGGAAAGGATCATTAGGCCTCCATGGCCTTAGTGCCAATGGCGTGTGAGGCCCTGCAGAGCAGACACATGACCTCTGTGGGTCATGGAGAAACACCTAGAGGTACTTACAATAAGATGATGGGTATAGGGCTCATTGAGGGATGTGGTGGGAAAAAACACTTTTGGGATTGTCTACAATTTGTTTTGGGATGTTTTCCAAGGGCCATGGGAACGTACAAGACTTAGTTCAGGATGTTGGGGATGGATTAAAAGTGGGGAAAGGAAGGAATTTAGGTAGATTGGAAAGGAGCAAGTGTGGGGAAAAGGAGTATAAAAAGGGCAGGTCAGTGTGCTTGCCTGAGCCCTGCCTGCACTTGATCACTCCAATCTGTTCTGTATTCTCATTAAAACCTATTTTTATCTGGTTTAAACCAGAGTGTTCTTTCTGGTCTGAGTGGGTGTGTGTGAGCACAGCCAACGTGATGCTGGTCTGGTTGGTGAGCAGCAGAGGAGGGCTGGGTGGTGCAGCTGCAGCAGGGCTGTGAGCTGGGGGCTTGCATGTCCAGGTACCAGCAAGGCCCTCTGAGACAGACAGACAGGCAAGGACAGAGAGAAGCTGTCATTTGCCCCAAACTGTAAAACTCCTGGCCAGGTGTCACATGTGCAAGGACAAGTGGCTACAGTGAAGCAAAGCAAGTGATTGCAATGCTAAGCAGCTGAGAGCCTAGGTCAGCCATTTTTTTCTCCCCCTTCCCCTAAATCTGTTTATGAGAATTGTTTTTGAATATTTATGTTTGGAATAATTATTTGGAAGAAATCACAGCTGCATCTGCTCCTGCTGAACTGACAGTTTGTGCTGCTGCCTCCTAGACATCTTAAATTCCCACTCTGAAAGGAAGACTGTTTTTTTAAAACTAGGGCTTGATATCCATGCTGATTTGAAATTGGTGTAATTTCAAAGAGCAATGGGACTTATTACTGGTTTAAGGACCAATGTAAGAAAATGGATGAACTGAACCAGTGGCTGTTGCAGTGGCAGCCATTTCGGGAGGACCCACAAGCAGCTGCTATGAAAAAAATCAGCTCTGCACAGGTAATGCCTCAGCCTTCATGCCATATTTGGAAAGAACAGAAATGCCATATTTGTGTGAGATCCTGTTGTGGGTCATCACTTCCCATACATCTGCCAGAGCTGGAAGCATCAGAAAGATGCATTTCAGAGGTGCACAACAACAGGGAGCTGCAATTGTGCTCCTCAACCATCTTTGTGAGCACGTGAGAAAAATTTGAAGAGGTTGTCTGAAAGACATTGTTGTCTGAAAGACATTGCAGAACTTGTTGGGTTTTTCCCCCCAGCATATAAACCACTGCATGCAACTCCTAAGTACAGGAAAACACATGCATGTGTTTTATTTGAGAATTAGGTAATTATGTAATTAGAAACTATATGCACTGTACTCAAGGTGGGTGGCAGGAACTGAGGATGCATGCACAGAAAGTTTTCAGATTCTGATTTTTAATGCTATATGACTCTTAAATCAACATGTGATTTGTAATTGGCTGGACAGAAATTACAACAAATTTACATTTCAGAAACAAAACAAGTCCCCATGCTCAATTAGCCCTGGACTCTTGGAAGTTTCTGGAGCATTTTGAATCTTCTTTTATGTAGAAAACCCCCTTTCCTACTGGACAGAAATACATTAACGTTTCATCTCAATGTTTCTTTCTAAAAGAAAGATATTTCTACAATGCCATTTTGGTGCTATCAATATGATGCCATCAAAGCCCTAAATAAAACACATTTTGATTGCCACTGATTATTTGGGAAATGCATTTTATCCCAGGAAAGCCAGCATGCACAGGGCATCCACCAATATCCATTCTGCAACAGCAGAAGCAAAAAATAACTCCACAAAAAGGTGTTTGCATTGGAAGTGCATAGACAGAGATTTTACCCAGGTATTACTGTATCATAATCTAACAAAATTTTCCATCTCAGACAGCATGGTAGCTCAATATATTTGTCCTGAAGACACATACAAAGCAATCAGTAAATTTTCTAGAAATGTCTTTATTGCTTTTAATTGTTCCTTGGTAACAGCAAACTCAACAATTGTGTTTTTGTTCTTTTCCCTTTCTTTTTTCTTATTAACATATAATGTTCCTTAAAATTCCTTTTAAACACCCAACTTTTCATACGCCTACCACAAAAGCCTTCTTTTTATTGACTATACTATGAATTACACACCTATTTAACATTTCAGAAGAGGGACCTCACTCTTGAGCAGGAATGTTCAACATCAGTATAAATAAAGGAGGCCTATGCCAGCCCAAATCAAAGGTGAGCCCACTAAAATCTAGGCTGGTAGACTTTTCACATTCAGGAAAACCTCTCTGACATTTTTTTACAAAACAGGATTTCCTGATATGCCTAGAGTCAGTATGGTGTGACATGGGCTGGCACTGCAAAATAGCAACAGCATACATTAAATCTGTGTTGGGAGCTGGTTACCAGAAACACTGCATAGTAATTACGGTGAAGATTCTCCGTGAAATAGATTCTGGTTTTTCAAATGAGATTCTGAAAAAAACACCCTCTAACCTTGCAGTAGAAAAGCTTTGCAAGTTGTCCAAATTATAGAAGATGTCTCATCTTTTCCCATGAAAGCGTACAGAGCTTGTAATTTACTGAGTTACGGCTTGTTCTAATGACTACTTGAGGGGATGGCTTGGCATGAGTAAGAGATGAGTTTGTGTATGAATTCAGTTCAAAGGTTCATGCAATTTACACAAAGTAATGAAAAGCTTAACTTGAACTCTCAACAACTCCACTTTCCCCCACCTCAAGTTCATAACACTGATATCATCGAGTCTTCAAGAAGCTGCCACAGAGTGGGAGGAAAAAAAAGAAGAGTCAAAAACAAGTCCCCAGTTCACACCAAGGCTTCACTAATTAGAACCACGTGTCCCACAGATGGAAGAGTAGTGCACCATGGCAAAGGTGCTGCTGCACTCCTGTTATGAGAGCTTTCCTCTAGAGCAATACTGCAAAGCCTTTTCTCAAACATGGCCTTGGACAGGGCAGGAGACCATGATGGGGCCAGGCAGGGCAGAGAGCAAACAGCAGGGAACCAACTGGATCTGGCCATCTCTGACATCTGATGACCAGTCCTCAATTTGGAGGAGGGGCCAAAGAACAAAAATCAAAACAGAGCACAGGAAAACAACAACAAAATTTTTATACAAGGAGCCCTCATCCTTGCTGCAGACTTTGAATGAGCAAGGACTGCACGATGTGCTCATCAAGTAATTTTTTCTCAGCTGTGAAGATTTAGCTAGTCATAGCATCCTCACCCTGTCATCACTTTAGTTGCCTAAAAAAGTCCCAGACATTTCTAATACTGCTTTTCCAATAAAGAAATCTACATTTGCTCAGAAAGTAGAATCTTAATGAGGCCTTGCTTGCTGAGTTAAAAAAGCATGAGGCAAGAGAAGTCTGTATTAGGGGAAGAAAAATAAATACCCCTTATTTAAACCCTCCTCTCACCTCAAAACAGAAGGCTCAGAAACTGAAAACTGATAAAAAGCAAACAACATACAAAATCAATCTTTCTGCTGAAGGTAGCAGGCTTTTCAGCTGGCAAAATAAATTGTCCATTAGAAAAGAAGAGGTACCTAAATGCATTCCACATAAGCAGTCATTTGCAACATCAGAAACTCTCTAAGACTTCTCAGCACATAAGCCTGTGTTTCCAGCTCACACACAAATGCAGTAACATAAGACCAAGGTTTTTAACCATTCATTTCTGGAGCTTGTTAAGTCACTGCTCGATTAAACATGAAGTAACCCAGATACCATCTCTCAGGGTAGCCTTTTTCCAAACTACAGGAATTTTTTACAAATTACAGCAAACCCCATAGTATTTATACCCTCAAACAAATTACCAGCATCTCATATATAAAATTGTTTTCATGTATAGGTACTTCCAGTAACTTCTTAGGAAGGATCCTAAACATTTGAGACAAAGGGTAAAAGCACAGGTCTAATTTTAAATTTAATTAACACAGATTTTTTTTTTAATTTTTAAATTTAATTAAAACAGAATCACAGAATCATTTAGGTTGGAAAAGACTTCTAAATCATTGAGTCCAGCCTTTGAGTGATGACCACTGTGTAGACCAAAGCATCGAGTGCCATATCCAGCTGTTTCTTGAACACCTTCAGAGATGCAGACTCCACCACCTCCTTGAGCAGCCCACTACAAGGTTTAACAACTCTTTCTGCTGCTAACTCACAGAAGAGGCAAAGAACTCTAAATATGAATGTAGACTTTTTAAAATGTCAAATTTATTTCCTTCCTTACAGAAGAGCTGCTCTGGTCTGCAAATTAATGGACAAAATAAGCCTTATTTTGATTTTCACATTGTATGTGCTTAAAAAAAGATGGATTTCTGATGACAATCCCTACAAATTGAAACTCAAATTAGATTTTCTCTTCTCATATACTACCATTTTACAACCAACTCTGAAAGCCTTGAGGTTTTACTACTCCTGCCACCCCTAGCTCTTCGTGCTACAGTACAGAAACTGTACTGCATACATATAAACCTGTATATATGTACAGACACAGAATTAGAGAAATAAAAGCACTGGGCAAATGTAAAGGCTTGAGTTTATACTCCCCAGCAGGAACTCCAGTCAAGCAATGTTCTGCACACAAATGTAAAAGGGATTTTTCCATGGCCTTCACCTCAGGCTCAGAAAGAGGATCTTAAGCATGGCAGGAAAAAAAGCAAAACTGCCAACTCCATTGCAAGATTAAACCTAGAGCTCCTTAAAACCCACCTATTTTGATTAATTATTTTTATGTGAACAACAAAAAACCATACATATCAAAGTTTTAAAGTAGCAAATTTATATTTTTTTATACCAGGACTTCCCTTTGCTAGTTTAGTTTCAGTACAGATGATCCTCCCTAAGAGAGTATTTACAGACAAGGAAAAATAGTTAAACATTAGGATATTTATTTTGGATACAAATATTTACAGAAAAATACTTATAAAAATTAAGTATTCAAATTTTAATGGACTTCACTTCAAAAAAGCTTAATGCTTTCACATCTTATAAAAACATGTTGCCTTTGCTGTGCTCAAATTTACTATTCAGATCTCTGGATTTTCTTATAAGAGCTTTCTTTTGTGCTTCATCAAAGCGATTGACTTTGAGATCCTGCTCTCGGTCAAATGGCCTTCTTTCCTGAGGTTTGCTCTTTTCTTCAGATGCTTTGCTCTTCAGCTTTTTCTGGTGGATGTCCATGAGAGACTCTGACCTCTTTGACTCCTGGAAAAAATGGGGAGGAAGAGGAAGTAAAGTATTAAATAATATCAACAACATACAGAGAATTCAAATTGAAAGACTGAAGTCAGGAAGGCTAAAAATTCCAGAAAAAGAAGACAGCTTAGTAACTGTATATAGAATGATAAATTTAGCATACACGGAGTAGAAAGTGTATGCAATCTTGGCTAGGCTAAAATAATAATAATTCACTGATGTAGATGGCCACAATTTTGTAGGTAGCCATGCTGCTGTTGAATCTCCGCAGACAACACAGATAAATTATAAACATAATGCAAAATAAATATAAAAGTTGCTCTGACATTATTGGCAGAATGAAGACACCATGTCAAAAGAAAGATCTCAAAGTACAGGCCAAGTTTCCTATACACATCCCCTAAGCACCTGGATTTGGTTACTGCTAGGGGCAGGAACAAGCTAGACACCCTTTCAATCTTCCATGCAGTATGATGGGTTTTTTTACATGTGTGCTCCTAACTTTGAATCATCTGTTGAAAGCCCACAGGACAAAGTCACAGTTTTGAGCTGGAGCATGTGTTTTGCCAACTCACTGGCTTTAGCTGCATTTCTTAGAGAGCATGATCCAGCTCAAACACAACATAAAACTCCAGCTGAGTTCACACCAGGAGCAAGATTAGCTCTCCCAAGACCATGAGGTCCCTCATTTACTCAGGTACAGTGCATTTGTGTATCTAAACCAATTCTCTCATCAAAAAGTGCAAAAGTTGAGCAGCTCTGTTTTCTCATGATTTTCCTTCACTTCCTGTGCAAACACTTACTACATTACACATGCAAAGAATAGCTTATGCATGAGTTAGGAAAAGATTCTCATGGAAATTAAGACAATACTTATTCATGATGCAACTGTGCCAGCATTGACAAAATTGCACCAGAGAATGTATGTTGTATTGAGAGAAGAAATGACTTTAAGAATGAAATCTGTTCTAGTGAAGTATCCTTAGTAAATGTCAGTGGAGAAAGAAATAGGAAAGAATAGAGAAAAAAACTTTAAAAGAAAAATAGCCACAACAACCACCTGAAAATCAGAAAAGAGATTTAACAAAAGAGAGAAAAGTAAAAAAACAACCCAAGAAACGATGTTCTTAAACTTTGAGACAACTCCATGAATCTTAGAAACAGCAAAGGCCTGTGCATGTTTTATTCCACCAATGGCAGAGAGCAAAACCCATAGTTTTACACAAAAATTATTCTACTATATTCATAGTGACAAGAGAAACAGACACTAAAGAAGAATCTTAAGACAGAATGCTAATAGCTCTGGATTTGCAAGTCTCTAAGTCAGGAACTACAGATAAATGAACAGAACTACTAGTTAATGAACTACAAATAAATTATCAGAAGTTAAATTAATTATCAGATAAACGTGTAAAATAAGCCAAAGATGTGATTTTCAAGTTAATTGTCCTCTCAAGAGACAAGATGCCTTCTGTAAGAGTTCAGGCCATACATCAGGGAAGAACTAGAAACAGAAGCTGTAAGGCAGGCAGTGGTCCACACTCTTTGAGGAACAGGGCTGACTGACAGAAAAGTGAGAGGGAATTTGACATGGAGTTCAGATTTCTAGTAATCAACATCTGTCTGTGAACATTATCTGCTCCTGTAGAGACTGAGAAAAACTACATGTGGTGATGTTCCTGTAATGAGTAGCTAATGTAATTAATGACAGGGGGTAATTAATGCAGTGACCTGCTTAGCCCATCAACCCTTTTTAGGTTAGTGCATATGTTGGCCTAAAAGTTAAACCTGCATTGTTGTTTTATTCTTGGGATGTCAGTAATCAGGTGAAGCAAGCTAATATTTGAACTAAGGTCCCAGCAACCATGTCCTGACATGAGAATGATTGAAGGAAAGCATCATCTAAAACTGAGGCAATATACACAAACCCAAATTCTGTCACTTTGCAGAGGACCCAATCCTGCTCTTGTTGATGTCAATGCCAACCATTCTAATGTCTTAAAACAGCAGTAGGTTTGGGCACTAAAAGGGAAAACTGTAGTGGCATCACCATGGAAACCAGAAGCACTAGAAATGAGAACCAGAAAAAAAGTGAAGAACTAATGGAAATAAAGGAAGTATTTTGTGATTACACTTACATTGTATGAAGACACCTGCTCAATAAGCCTCTTGTCCCTCCCAGATAATACCATTTCTTCATTATCCTTACTGCTTGACTTTTTTGCCTCTTCTCTTTCCTGGTGAGTAGAAGAAAATCACATGCTATAGTAATCAGAATGTCTGAAGTAAAAAGCAGGCAAATCTATATCTACTTTAATTAAATCTGGAGGGTAAAGGCCATGATAGAGACTATCAGATATTTTCTGCTCAGCTTGATGGAAGAAGAAACCCGACATGCTAATTGGAAAGTCAATGAGCTGATACAGAGTATCCGACTACTGCAAAAAGGGAGCAGAAATGAATGCATATCAATGATATATAATGCTGTTATTTCATTGCCTTTATCTTTAAACCTGAATTAGTAAATTTTAATAACAAAGAAAAATCTGGGAAAGAAAATTTCACTGACCAACCCATAGTATCTTTACTTTGTTTTCACAGAACATCAGTAACATCTACTGCCTACAAGTGTATATGAATAAATAAATAAATGCTCACCTTGGCTTTTCTCTCTCTGTCAGCTGGAGTATCTGTCCAAATAGATCTATCACCTGATTTGTCATCAGCTCGTCTCTTGAATGTTCTTGGGCCAAATCCAAAGCTTTTCAGCTCAGGTGGAAGCTCTGTCATCCATGATTCCCTGGTAACTTGTTTGGGCTCATCCTTTGCCAAAGAAGTAGGGGTGGAGGGAAGAGTGAAAAAAGCATAATCAAAAACCACTGCCTGAATCTCTTGGCTTCCAGCAGAAATCACAGACTCTTTTTCTTTACCACCTGCACACACGTAGCATCCCGAGTAGAACTGCAACCAGGTTTACACAGAAACAGGCAAAGAGAAAGACAAATGCACTCCAGCAACAAAATACTAAAAATTAAGAAATCCAACTCACGCTGTCTGCTGCAGTAAGCTTTTCTTTCATTCTCTGAGCTCTGCGTTCAAACTCTTTGGCCACATCAGACTCCACTGGTCCTTTAGCAGGCATTGGGCCTATTAAATTGTCTTCATCCTCACTGCTATCTGTCAGCTTCCAAAAATAAAACATTTCTTTCAAACACAGTGCTAAGAGCATCAAGGAACACTTCAGCTCTATAGAATTACAATGACTTTGTCTAGAAGAGCATATAAACCTAATGTAACGCATTTCCCACACAACAAAAACCTGGATTAGAACTCCAGATTACACCTGTTCTGGCACTTGAACATGGATACTTTGTCTCCATTTTGCCAAAAGCAGCATCTCTTGTCTGAGGCAAGACTGCTGGTAAAGGCAGTGGCAGCACACAAAGCCCTGCTGCTTTACATTGCTCTGCACACAGCCACGCAGCCTCTGTGGCCATGGGTGAGTTTGGAACACACAAGCATACAACTTCCTTATTTTGGGCTTTACCATCACCAGCAACACTTGGATGCATTTCCCTAATCAGGATCACAGTTTCACACTGCAAGAACTGTCTTGAGCTCAGATGCTGTAAGGATGTCAGAAGGAATGGAGTGCAAGGTAGGGTACTGGTGGCACACATGGTACTCTGCCCCTGCAAGTACAGCATCTCCAACTAATCCTTTGGCTCTGTCATTCACTTCTTCAATCCCTCATGGATCCCTTCAGGAGGAATTTCTTCACTGCAAGGGTTATCAAGGGTGATCAAAGAACAGGCTGCCAAGGAAGTGATGGAGTCACCATTCCTGGAAGAGTTCAGAAAATGACAGGATGTGGCCCTTAGTGCCATGGTCTATTTGACAAGGTGGTGATTGGTCAAAGGTTGGACTCAACGATCCTGGAAGTCTTTTCCAACTAAACGATTCCATGATTCTGACATTGCATTCTAACGAATTTTTTGAAGAAGGGCTAAAAAATTATATTTGTTAGGGATTAGATGCCAATAAAAATCTTTCTAGTTGCCAGGGGTTGTACAAAAAGGTCACTAGTGCCTCCCTCCAAGGTCAAACAGTACAGATGTGGATGGGAGCAATACTAGACAGAAAATTGTGATGCCACAGTGCCCTGGGTGCAAAGCTAAGGTGTCCAATATTTAAAAAAGTACAACAATATCTACAAAAGTGCAAAGATTTTGCTACAGTCTGACTGTGCGTGATAAAGCAATGGGAGTAGGATGACAAGGCTGTGTAGCCAGGAAGCACAAATTGAGAATACACAAGGTGGTGATTCATTAGATTCACTAAAGCAAAGTGAGGAGTCAGCATGCCTCTAAAGATGTACTTGAATACAAAATAATTAAATACATTTTTTAAAAGCCAACAAGAAATTACTCATATTAAAAAATAATAAAAAGAGTATTATTAGGAAGAGGTAACAAAAAGATAACTATTAGGGAGAGAAAAAAGGTAAGTTCTGTAATACCTGTAAAAAAGCTAGAAGATGTATTTATGAGAAGAGAGACTTTTTTGTTTGCAAAATATAAAAGCAGACAGCAGACATCTCTGCCTCAAGAGATTTGTCACTATGATAAATTGCTTAATCATTATTTGGAGTTATAAGACGATGAGTACTTCAGAAATGTCAGATAATCTTTCTGCACGATGAATTACAACACCCCTCACTGTAGGAGGCTGGAGAATTATATGCTTTGCAACTGCTAACCAAAAAAGTGAAGTTTCAGAGCAGCCTTTGCATCCTTCCTTCCTAGCGTGTCTAGCATCTCCCATAGTTATCTAGGAGTTAATTGTAAAAATGTAAGTGTTTTTAAAATAAACAGAATAACCATGAATTCTCCCAAGGAATTAACATTCAGTTTAACACAGCATGAGAGAGATTCACTTGCCTAAGCACTGGTATCCAGCACCATTTTTGATGTCTTAGTGTCTCCTGCCTGACGTAAGAGGTGCTGCTCAAGAAGGGTATGACCTTCTCTTAAAGTGCTACTCCCTACCTGCCAGGCCCTCCCATAGGCAATTTGGATCCCTCAGAATGGTACTGAAAGCCCATGTTCAGGGAGTTCAACCTTCCCCATAGTTGTATTTTATCACACATCTTGTTCCTCATTGTTCTTTAGTAGCACATGCATTATTCTGCAACCAGAACTTCTACCTAATTTTTACCTAACAAGACCAGAAAAGTGAAAAAATGTGAACCTAAAAGACAAGTCAGTGTCACTGTCCTGCACCTGACTCCCAGTTACAGGTATTGTCCTGCAGCTGCTAAGAACAATTTAGTGACACTGTAATGCCATTCTTGATTGCATTCTTTTGGATAAACTTATTTAAAGGTTGTAGCCACCAGTAAACATCTTTAAGAAGGTGAAGATGTGTTTTCTGCCTGCAGTTTAGGATGCCAAGATTGCTTGTGTTCAGTGAGTGCACCATCTATTTAACAACAATAGCAAAGCAAACCAGGCCAGTCTTTTTTGTTTCTTTTTTTTTCAAAGGCTTATTTATGCTCAAGTATTTGACTCCAGCAAAAATATGCCAGACACTTTATGGTCCAAAATTAAACTGTCATCCTGAGAAGTATCTGGTAGTCTCTTTCAGGCTGCAACTTGTTTTGCCATTTCATATAGCTTGTACTAAAACAAAAGGCCTCTCTTTGCACAAACCTGGGGACGGGATTCTGATGGAACAGACGGTCCTATGAAACATCTGCTACTTCTGGTGTCCTCTGAAGCTTTCCTAAAGCCAGGTGGTAATGCAGGACCTATAATGGGCCTTGACAGCAGAGGGAAAAAAATTTTTTTTTTTTCAGCTGAGGAGGAAAAATCAGTATAAAAATCAAACATCAATGAGAAGTATGACTTTCCTTCCTCCCCACACCAAGTGTGCCCCTGTGCACACATACTGTAGAAATAACTCAATAAGAGTGCCTCCATTTTCCAGGAGAACCTGTGCAGGCAGATTTGATGCAAAAAAGAAAAAAAACAGAACCAGGGAAGTTGCAGCATGTAGTCAAGGAAATCCACTTTTTCTTCCGTAGCTTCTTTCACCAGATTCAAGAGCAATGAAAGGTGGTAAGACAAATATACATTCCTCCTTCACAATCAACAAACCCAATTTCCTTGTTCTTGTCTTGCACGTCAGTTTCATTGTCCTTTAATAAGCAGAAACAGTGAACTGCTCTGATTTTATTTTACCTTGGAGTGGGAAAGAGAAAGAAAGTTTTGCAGTCCAGGTAACTTTACTGATTTGTTTTTAAGCAACAGCTCTGCAAGAAATGGTAATCAGCTGTCTCCACAAATACAGAAAGGTGAGAATCTCTTTTCAGTGGTGAAAAGACTACTACAAACTGAGCTCAAAGAAATGGTGCTTGTTGTATTGAAAGTCTTTTGAATGCGGGTTCCTCTTAATAATCCACCATAATAGTCTTTAAAGCTAATAAAAACTAATTAAAAGCTTAAACAACTGTCATCTGAAGACATATCCAGGTGACAGTATTCTCACAATGTAAGAGGAGACTTTGTTTATTGTGACCTTCAGTTGTGAGCTTTATGTTATTAAATGTAACAACACCTGAATTGAATTTGCTAATTATGGCCTTTACTCAATCCCACTTAATCTAATCAGGACAGCCCTGCTGTAGCGATATTGTTGCCAGGGTGTAAAGAGGGGAAATAAAAGACTCCCTGAAGAACCAACCACAGATACACAGACATGAGCAATAAATATGAGCTCAGGCCAGGACAAGGCCACTGGTGAGGTTTTGAAACCAGGCAAGAAGTCTGGGTTAATTTTGAAGTTCCATCTCCACCTAGCTGCTACAGTTTTATCTTCCTTCCTTCCCGACTACTTTCTTGTTAAGACCATGTTTTAAATTCCTAATGTAATTTAAAGAGTTTAAACTTATACAGATATAGCAAAAAGAATCTTTTATTTTAGTATACAAGTACCTTTAATCTGCATGGAGAGATAGAGAAATCAAACTATAAAAAAAGCTCTCTCCTGAAATTTATTTATATGAACATCTCTGTGGTGGGCTGTATCTATGCAGCCTGTGAAAAAGAACCAATCCCAAATGCTCTGTCTTGATTCTGTCACAGCTCAAAGGCCCTTTAGGGAACAGAAAAGTTGTTTTCATATCCTTCCTTCCCATCCTTTCCATTCCTTATGCTTTTTCTTTTCCACTACATGAATATCTCTTCAAGTCTTTCCTCAGCAGTACAGAGTTGACATGATCCTTGACAGTTTCCTGGATGTCCAAAGGGTCTCTGAATAGGTGAACTGAATCTAAATACTAGTAATATTTTAACTCTGATAATATATTTACTCTAATAATATATTAACTACTAATAAATAACTGGTAAACACATTTTACTGCTGTAGGTAACTTCAGTACCGGTACCATGTCAAAAAACACCCCCAAACTTATGTACTAAGTGTTAATTTAAGGACTATTGCATTTCATACATGGCAAAGACTGTTCTCCTGTAGTTGGACTTGGAAGTCCTTGCTAATGCGCATTTCAAGATGGGTGTTTCAGCATTCTTCTGATGTATAACATAAAATTTTTTAAGATCACCTTCACTCTTTACCTTGATGTGTGAACACTTCAGAAATATTTATGAGTGCTGCACTTCTACCTAACACTGATAAACAGCAATAAAATCTTCAAAGTTGAAGGAAATCTTTTCACATATATATATTTTATGCTGGAATGATTCAAACCATTTTCAACAAGCTGGAGATTGCCACATGAGCTGCCCCTAATCATGAACACATTGCTTTGACAAGTCTGGAAAAGATGTAAGAGAATAAAAGCTTTCCTAAAAGAACGAGTATGTCACACAGAGCTGATAAACAGCCTGTCCACACACTGAAACAAACGACCTGCATTTGTTTCAATTATTCATGGCTCAATTGGCAGCTGGCAATCTGCTCAAGGCTAAGGGCAATGCAGCAGGCAGACAGCAGCCTTGTGTCTGCGCCCTGCACGGCTCACACGCCTCCCAGACTCCCAGGTGTGCGGGGGCGGAAGACAGACAAGGCTCTTCCCACACACCTCACTGTTCCCACCTATTCAGGGAATCAGGCTGGGTGCAAAACAGCTCCCCTCAATCTGCTTTCTGCGTGTGTGCTAGGAGCAATTGTATGGTGAGGTAGGGAAAAACAATACAGTGAGTGCCAAGTGCCTTCTACTGCTTTAATCTATCGCAGACACAGAGCAGACTCCTGCCTCAATGTCACAGAATATTCTGGGTTGGAAGGGAACCACAAGGACCATCAAGTCCAGTCCTTGAGTGAATGGCCCCTTCCTCTTCCATTTTGCCATGAGTATTCATGTCAAAAATCAAGAAAGTAAGAAGGCTACCTCTGCTGATATTAGAAGTTACAAACATTTATTTTTTTAATAAAGAATACATTATTTTTAATGACCTGCTATATTTTATAATTAAAATAATATTTAGTGGATACACAAGAAAAAGTAAAAAAAAATTAGTTGTTCATGGGACCATTGAAGCACCAAACGATCCCACTGAGCATGATACCCACAACTACAAAAGAGTTTTTTGATTACAGCAAAGTGTGACCAAATGTACATAAGAAAGATATTTCCAAATAACCTTAGTTACATAAATTCTTGCTTAGTTACATAAATTTTATGCTGCCAAGTATCATAAAAATTTATGCAAACTAAAAAAAAAAAAAAAGAATAAATAACTTTGAAATTTCTTTTGAGATGGTATATTTCACACATAGCTCAACAGTAAATTGAGACACTTTCCTGGAAATGAACACTCATACCTGACAGGCAAGTATAATTTTATCTACCAACTCCTATTGTTCTGAGGAAGATAAAAGTGATCAAGGGACTCTTGTACTTCTCATCAGGAAGTATCCCCTTGGAAGCACCCATTCCACTATGGACTATAATTTCAAATTATAGAAGGAAGTGCCCAGATTAATGTGAAGACTAAAAGGCTGTGAGACACTGTTGAGTTCTGTACAGAAAATCAATATAATATTTTGGGGGGGAAGTATTTTATAACTGGAAGCAATCAAATGGAAAACTTCCTAATAGAGACCATAAATAATGTTTATTTGTGTAGACCTGACAGCTTCTTTTCTAGAAACCTACAGTGTTCATAACAGTTTTGTACCTGGAGACATGTGAACAATAACCCTTGATGCATTAGCAAAGGACATGGTATTGCACCACACACAAGGTAACTGCCCCAGTCCCTCACAGATCTGAATGAACACCACAGAACTACAGGTCCTTGTACCTATCATTTGTTTTTTCTCCACTGATCTGAGACCTATCAAAAGAAATTGAGGAAATTTGACGTCCAAAATACATCTCAGAAAATTTACATGAGTTCTTTTACTCTCCTTCCAACCTGGCCTAGGAGCACCAGCCCTTGGTGCTCTATTTCAAGGGAATGATGTTCTTGTTCTCAGAACATGGAGGAAGCATTACCTCTAATAATCTCAATCTCAAGTGCACAACTGAAATGTTCTGTAATAGTGACACAAAACATTTAATCTAAAATAATTGTGTTTTGAGGAAAAGAATCCAAATATAATTCCATTTTAATTACCTCTCTGGAGAATCATCCTGTTTTTTAAATCCAGGAGGAAGAGCTGGCCCAAAAAAGCCATCATCATCATCGTCTTCATGAGTTCTTTTTGGCTTTCTGCAAATACAGATTTCACTTAATAATTACCTTGACAAGCATAGCAATTATCTATGTTTTAAAAAGGAAAAAAAACCACATAAAATTATTTCATAGGGTCTTCTCTACTAAATATCCTGCTGTTACCATGGAAACAGTGCAAAAGGATCCAAAATGATTTGAAGCAATTAAAAAATTGGGAGTATAAGATTCACTTCAAAAACGTTCTGACATTTAAAAAAGAAGAAAAATTTAAAAACAATATTAAGAATGCTTTTGCTGTAGAAAGAAGTTTAGTATAATGTTGAAATACCATTTTCTAGTCACAAAGTAATTTAAAATTCAGTACTTTCCCCATTTTTATATGCTGTCTGCATTTTGAGTAGTACTTTTCCTGTTCAATTCTAATTAGCTGAAAAATTATTGACTAAGAAAGCAAGAAAAAAAATGAATAATAATTACTCTATCACTCATTAAGATGGCATAATGGCCTTCAAGTCTCTTGTACAAGGGTTAGAGCAAACACACACAAATTCTTAACACAGCAATTGTGAGCAATCAACCCAACAAATGAGAGTAACTGCAGACTCCTGTTACTTGCTAAACAATTCAGGTTTTTTTCATTAGAGTTGACTTAACTGAATGCATAAATCCATAAACAGGTCCTATGGCCTCTCAAAGAAAATCAGTATACCAAAACCAGTGCAAACCCACAAGTACCAAATACTTATGCCCATGGTAAGTGGTGTCTGTCCTTAGCATAAACACGCAAATTTGCAGAACTAAAACAAAACATATAAATATAGAAATCTGGCTGCCCCAAATAATGTAATTACACCGTAGGATGTCAAACAGGTCAGCTGAACATTTCTGGCCATGGAGAACATGGATTCAAAAGTTTTACACAGGTACAGAGTTTACATTTTTTTATACAACATTGTCCCTTCTTCATAAATTGGACACATTACATTTGCAATACAATTTGTAAATATACAAATAACCCAAAAACATACTCACTTGGGTGCTGGATCTCCTTCTGTCTCCTCTTCAGAGTCTCTGTTTGTGTCTCTGGGTAGAGGAAGAGATTCTGAGTCGTCATCACTGTCAGGAGTTTCTGAGCTACAGCTGCTTTTGTAGTCTGGAGGCAGTGCTGGTCCTGCAACTGAACATCCAGAGTTATTTGGGATCGTAAAATCACAGAACGGTTTGGATTGGAAAGGACCTTAAAATTTATCTAGTTCCAATCCCCCTACCATGGGCAGGGAACCTTCTACTAGACCAGGTTAAATAAGGATACCTACTAAATGTTTCAAATAAGTATGATCTACCACGGCATATCCAAAACACACATTTACTTGGAATTAAGCTTATTTAATCAGTGCTCTCTCCAGCATTTAGAGAAGATATCTAAACAAATTTCTAGAAGCTACCTCTTTCAGCACCTTACTTCCATCAACAACCTACCCTGAACAGTTCTGACTTAGGACATTACTGATCCATTACTCATGAGCATCCTCTGGAACAAGACTAGAAAGCCCTGATTTGTGTAACAACTAATGTACAATGGATGTGGCATAAACTGGTATATTTAAAAGAAACACTTTTATTAAAGGATTTGAAGCTTACTAGTGAAGAAACACATCATCCTTACATACACAGCGTGGGAGACCATAAATTATTAAATGGGAGCATTTGTGACCATAAAGTATTAAATTAATTGCCAGCCTGCTTTGGGAATGGTTTAATGATTAAGGTTATTACCAGTTCAGCAAAATGTGAACAGCATGGGCAGATTTAAGTACTCTGCTGAAAAAGGGATGATTTAGGCATTCAGAAAATGAATTCAAAGAATTTTTGCTGTCAGAAGGCCAGGGCAGTGGATGGAGCTCTCATGCTCCAGTAAAACCTTCATGCTCCAGGGTAATATCTCAGCAGAATTACAATTCAGACACTAACACTGCTAACGGGTCTGAGCTGCTTCTGGCACTGTGCCCACCAGCAGACACTGATTTTTAGAGATTTATTTGGCTACAGCACCATGTGCAGTGCGTCCAGAAGCAGCATAGCCATTGACCCTAACAGCAAATGCCCTCCAAAGAAGACCCCTAACACAGATACCCTCTCAGGCTCAATCAACAAGGAGTCAGCTGGAGCAAGCAAAAACCAACAATGGCTCTCAGGTAAGAGGCCTTCCCAATCCAGGGCAAGGCACCATTTACACAAACACAGTACAAACAGCCCACGTTCCCATGTAATGGTATTGAAGTGAAGGGGAGAAGCAACCATCCTGGTGATGCATCGAACTCCAATTTATTGATCAATCAGCCACTTTATATAACAGTGTTAATTAACTTCATGCATATTGCAAAATCCAAGCTCACGATAGGTTAACAGAGAAAACTCTAACCCCTCCTTTTGTTTTACAATACCTATGATTGTTTATTAAAAACAGAATCAATGTTCCCACTGTGATATGGAAGTTTTGGGAACCTCTCATATCTGTTCCCAGGGAGCTATCTTTTCCCAAAGAACCCAGGGACAGAGTTTTTGCTTGTTATGGGAAGACTGTCTGAGAATCTTATTGTTTATAAAGTGATGCTTTGAGAGAGCCTAATAGTTTATAGAATCAAGTCTGGGAACTGCTTTGCAGCTACCTTTTTTACTTTTCTCTCAGCTGTACACCTTCATGGCCTCTTTCTTTTAACCATGCTTGAACTAAACTCTCCAACATAATGGAGATTTGATTCTACTGATGATTTAGCATCCTGAGACACAGACACCATTCCCCCTCTTAATATCTCAAGCACTGAGTACAAGACTTGCAGGACAGAGGTGCTTTGGTGAGGAAAAGACATTGTTCCCTTTATGAACAGTCAAGGGTCAGATGAAATGATAAATAGTACCAGGAAATTAGATCTGCAGTTGAAGAACTACAATTCTTGATAGTACAAAATACAACCTAATGCATATGATGGTTCCACTGTTAGCTGACAAAGGCTAGGCAGAAATCAAGTCCTTCAAGTGAGCTTCACAAAGCTTTTAATCATGTTTAGCACAAGACTAGTTACAAAGCATCCAGGCAGTGGATGCCACTTCTTTATTTCCTGTTCTAATGGAAAAGACTTTGCCAGGGACATACAAATCCATTTCAGCACTAGGAAGAAAAAAAAAAACCAACCAACAAACCACTTCTTACACCCTGAAAAAACCAAACACAACACCCTAGCCTATAAAGGTAAAATAAGTTCAAGATGAAAGAAACAAACAGATAAATGATAAGCGGGAATAAAAACTGCTATCAGTAAGTCTCCTCTTCTGGTATGAAAAGCACCACTTGAATAAAAGCACTTAAAGCCCAAACAAAAACCTGCAAAACTGCTTTCTGCAGCCACCTGGTGCCCTGACATCATGCAAGCAGACTTCATTTGCTCTAAATGCAAAAGAAAAGACTTGGAGTGGAAGGAACAAATGCAGATACAATTTGATGAGTCTGATACTAGAGAGGAAATTAGGAGTAGTTTTGTGAGCTGCACAGATCTAGTAAAACCAAAACTGTTTAAGGAAGGACAGTGGTCCCACTGGCATGTTGTTCAACACCAGGGCTAACACCAATACTTTTATCCCAATTCCTCTCTGTTATGTTGGCAAAACTTTGCATGGGCTATGCAGTAAGCTGGATCAGGGAGCTTAAAAAGAATAAAAATAACACTGCAAAACACAGCACTCCCCTGAAAGAACTATTTGTTAGTGGAACTGCAGCCTAAGCAGGACAAGCAGAAATTAAACAGAGACTGAGACTGACTAATGAAGGGAAAATGGCATTTAAAGCCTGAGGAAGAAAAAGTCATTTGACATGGTGAAAAGAAATGGAGGGGAAAGAGACTTGGGATTAAAAATTAATATGATCATGATACTGACTGAGACTAACAATCAGCACAGGCAAATATACAGCTATGGATCAGGATGGTTTGGGGAGCCACAAGAAAGAGCAGAAAGGTAGGAAAGCAAATTGCTAAGCATAAATTCTGTGAGCAAAGAAAGAAAAGGGTGAGGAGGGAGGCCAAGATCTAATCAGAAGTTTGTAAAATTCACCAAAAGCCATGGAAAAGTGGAAAAATACAGATGAAAGGAGGAGCAGAGGAGAGCTCAAAGAGTTAGGAAACTAAACCTAATGAGGTGAGGAGCATAAATGGATGTAGCAACGACAGAGCAACAGAAAAATAACAAAGTAACCAGAGCTCAGAACAATTCAGAACAGAGCAATGGGATAAAAATGTATGTGAAGAAAATGTTTGGGATAGTGAGGAGAGAAACAGGACCAAGTGAGACTGAAGTGAATGTTTCACAACTACTAGAAGTGACCCATCCCACTAATGAGCTGGCTCTGGTGACTATCTGCCTGAAAATTAAGTCAATTCGATTCATAAACCAAATTAAAAGCTACTTTTTGTTTTGTTAGGGTTATTTCTGCTGTATTTGGGGACTCTGGGCAAACTACCACACCATCAGACATGTACTGGGAAGCTCTCAAGGACAGACAAGGCCTTTCAGCTCCAGCACAATGGTAGATCAACTCAGACATATCAACACATCCGTGTGTGGCCTCAATGCTGAAACAGACAAAGCTCCCTTCTGTGCCTCTGGCTATTTTTAGCCATTCCCTAGCATTTTTTTCCTGCTGGTACAAGGACAGCCCAGAGGCAGGGACAAATGGGCCAAAGGAAGTACAATTCTTGCAGCAGGAGCACAGTTAGTCCAGCTTCAAAGCACCATCGTGACGTGAAGAATCAGCAAATAAGTGCATCCCATGGGCTGGACAATGGAGAAGGTAAAGGATTCACTAGGGATGAGCTTTGGGGTCTGTCCAGCTACCATTTGCTTCCACCCTGTTCCTGATTAAGGGTCACAGAAGTATTATTAACAACCTCTCTGACAGCACAGGCAATGTGGTTTGTCCCATGGTAAGAACACCAGTGGGTATCATGGGACAAAGTGAGTGGATGCTTGTATCCAGAGGGGTGGCAGAGTGGGGCTCAGGGGGGCTGAGATCTTTGCTACTGGCTGTGGTGCACATCAGCCTGCACAAGGGTAAAAATGCTGCTGGACACTGGGCCAACTAGTCTCCCAAGGCTGCAGACAGCTCCCAGGTGGATTGTCTCCAGAAGGAATGTGTTAGCAATAAATCTGATCATAATCATACATAGTCACTCTCCTATTTCTTGTGTCTGTCTGAGAGCCTTCTCTTGTGCCTGAGAGTCTTCTCTGCCACAGACTGCTCAAAGTCCTACTTTCTTGCTGTTGGGAGACAGAAAATATGAAAGTAGACTAAAAAAAACAAGTGCTCTTCAAGAAAAGCAATGAGCAGCTCAAGTATCAGTGAGACTACTGTGACAGGAAAAATACTGGAAAAGCTGCTCAGCTTTCAAAGGTGAAGCATTTCTTAAAATAGTTAGAACACATAGGAGAAATTGTTACAGAACAAATTCTAGGCCCATTTGACTCAAGACCCAGCAAGTGTTGCAGCACAGAAGGTGCTGGTGGCAGCCACATCGTGTGATTTTTGTCACTCCAGGTGCAGGGCTCCAAATGGAGCTGCAGTTCTGTACAGCAAAGTGTGTTATGCCAAAGTACTTGCTCTCCCTTCTTCCTCTGCACTGCAGCAGTCTGCCTCAGGGGGTGAGCAGGGACACTGTGCTGCTGTAAGCCAAAGTCAGAAAAAGTTTGTGAAAATGATAGAAATAATGGGCCAGTAGGCGGAGTTTGGGGTTTTTATTTGTTTGTTCTCAAAGGCAAATAAATTCCTTCACCTACTTCACACAGGAATTTCCAAGCAGATCTTGGATCAGCTGCCAGAGCAACTGTAATACTATGGAACTGATCTACACAGGGACAAAGAGGGGACAAACTCAGCTGATTAACCTAAACTAGACACCGCTGAAACACCCAATGTCACAAACCCATGGCCTAAGGACAAGTTTAACTTGTTTTGTTCATACATGATACAAATACTTGCAGCATGCTCAGTGTGTTGATGGAAAGTGAATACGGCATTAACACAGATATGGCCAGGAAAGGCAGCATGAGCTCATGCAGCCAGGGCTTCTCCATAAAGCAGAGATCCGGACACAGAGCCTGATGTTGCCATGGTGTCAGCTGATGCAGCAGCTTTGTCCCTCTTGCTACTGCTCCCTCTTCTGGATTAAAAAATTAGAGAGCAGACAAGCACAACAAACCTTTCCCATGAGAGCTGCTTCCTTTGGAGTAACCGAACGGTCAGTGGCACACTGCTAGAAACTGAATATATGGACTAGTGCCTTGAATCTGGATTAAAGGCAAGGAGTGCAAACGCTCAAAGTGCTGCTTCTGGAGATATTACTGACAGAGGACATGCAAGAATTTCAGCGGGGAAACTGAGCTCCATGTCAGAAGAGCCAGCCTGGCAGTCAGCTGGTCCCGGTGGGATCCCACCTCTGATGTGACAGCTCTCGACAGGACAGACCCCGGCAGGCAAGGCACCACCGTCCCACTGACCGGCAGTCTGCTCCACGTCCTGAGGTACTGTGCCTGGAAAACCACAGCTGACGAAGTGGTTTGGCTTGGCAAAGGAAAGCCCGCTGCACAGGCCCGGCCTCCTCCTTTCCTACCCGCTAAGTTCACACTTGGAGCTGCTGAAGAGCACAGGCTTCAGAGAGCACGGGAGACTAGAGCGAGACGAAAGTAAGTGACCGAAAGCAGTATTTTTCTAAAACTAATTTTAGAGCGTTTCATATTTGTAGCGTTCCATCGCATACGGCACTTGTTTTTTGTGTGTGTGTTTTTTTTTTTTTTTTTTTCCCTAAAAAAGTGACTGTCATGACCGTCCCGGTGAGTTTAGCTCCATCCAGGCGCCGCTCTGGCGGCGTACACCCCGCGCTGGGGAGCCCCGCAATCCCACCCACGGAGCATCCCGCTCCCTGGAACACGGGCTGCAGAGCCGCTCTGCCCCCCTCGCAGAGCACCTCCCACTACGGAACACCGGCTGCAGACCCCGCTGCGCCCGCACGGAGCACCCCACGCCGCGGCACGAGGGCCGCAGAGCCCCACTCTCCCACCGCGTCCCTGTGCTCTCACCCTGGCTGAAGTCCTCGCCCGGCTCGGCCTCGGCGCGGCGCGGGAAGCCGGGCGGCAGCGCGGGGCCGATCAGCTGGCGGGCCATGGCGGGGCCGGCTCGGCGGGCAGCCCGGCCGCCCTCCCCGTCCCGCTCCCCTCCCCGGCTCCCGCCCCTGCGGCGCTCCTGGATGACGCCGCGCCCGCCGGGAAGGAGGGAGGGAGGGTTCGCCTTCCTCAGCCCGGACGTGACGCGTTCGGCGGCCGCCGCCGGAGGGCCCCACGTGGTGGTGCGGGAGCAGCGCGCAGCGGGGTCTGCACAGCCGGACGGCCTCTCCGGGCCTGACATGAACCCCTTCGCCTGGTACCCACCGCCCCCGCCGGGGCTGCCTCCGCCGGGCATCCCCCCACCCTTCTTCTGCCCGCCGCCCTCCTGGGACGCGAGCTTCTGGGCGGCCCCCGTTCCCTACCCGCCGCCGGGCCGCTACCCGCCGCCCGACAGCCCCTACGCGTCCGCCGACACCTACTCGCAGCCCAAGAGCTACTCCCAGCCCGCCGAGTCCTACTCGCAACCCGCCGAGAGCTACTCGGATCCCGCCCAGAGCATCCCTCCCGCCGAGAGCTACTCCCAGCCTGCCCAGAACTTCTCGCAGCCCGAGGGCTACCCGCAGCCCGCCGAGGGCTACCCGCCGGCTCAGAGCTACCCGCAGCCCGAGAGCTTCCTTCCCCCTCATGGCTTCAGCTCGCCGGGCGCCTGGTTCCCGCCGGCCTACGGAGCGCGGGGCCCGCACGCTGGTGAGGGGCAGGGCAGGAGCCGTCCCTTGGGCCCGTGGGCTCCATTCCATCCCATCCCATCGGCAGCCAGGGGCCCCGGGGCTGTCCTGCACCCTTGGGGCTGGAGGACTCTCCTCCAAGCACGTTGGTCATGCAGCCCTCTCTTATCTCTTCCCTAAATCCTCCCCTGTTGCCCACTGAGGTAGGCGGAGCGGGAGGTGTTTTACCAGGTGTATCTGTGAATGGCTCATCTTTTTTTTTTTTGCTCTGTTCTGAAGGTGGAAATGGTAATTTCTCCCAGAAACGGCAGGGCAAGCAAGGGCCTGCGTTTAGTAAACATTGCCCAGAAGAAAATAACAAGCCAAAGGTACGGAGTGGGGTCCCCAGCGCAAGAGGGACATGTACGTGTTGGCCAGGGAAAGGCCATGAAAATGATTAGGGGGTGGAGGTGAAGGCTGAGGGAGATGGGGTTGTTCATCCTGGAGAAGAGAAGGCTTTAGGTAGAACCCTGCATCATCCTTTCAGCACTTAAAGGAGCTTAGGAGAAGGACTTCATAGTACAGCCTGTAGTGATACAGCAAGGAGTAATGGTTTTAAACCGAAGCAGAGTAGATTTAGATTCGACATAAGGAAGACTTTTACTGTGAAGGGGATGAGATACTGGCACACATTGCCCAGAGGAGCTGTGACTGGCCTGTCTCTGGAAGTGTTGAAGGCCAGATTGAATGGGGCTTTGAGCAGCCTGATCTGATCTCGTCATAGACTGTCCCTGCCCATGGTGGGGGGTTGGAACCAGATGATCTTGGAAGGTTCCTTCCCACCCAAACTATTTTGTGACGGTGTCAGTCTGATGGGACTTGTCCCAAGGCACTATAGAGATCCCATTCTCCTGTCTGACCTACTTGCCCTTAGAAGAGAGCAAACATGTGACAGTCTGTAACTCTTGAAAGATACATGTCAACCAAATTGTTACACAGGTTTATGTCACATTGCTGTGGTGATGCTCAACTGCCTCAAGTAGTGCTCTGTTACAAGGTCAAGAGCAGCCAGCCAGATGGCACTGATGTGTGTAGCAGGAGAAGGCAGGGTCTGTGCTGCCCTCTGAACTTGTGCCTTCGTGGGAGAACAGTCATGGTCTGTCTTGGTAGAGAAGAACATGCGGCTTTAGCCTAAATCTCAGAGCCCTCTGCAAATCTCTGCCAGCCAGCTGGTGTGTTTGCAGAAGCAATAATTGATTGAAACGTGGTAGCGGGAAGAGCTGAGTGCAGGGTGCTTTGTTTAGAAGATAAGTAATGGGAACTTAACTTCTGTATTATGTTAGCTTGTCTTTGAAACCTTTGAAACATATAACTGCTTTATTAACAAAAATAATAATAGTGTTTCGTGTTTCATGACCAGCTAAACACAGGAATATCTTGTAACTGCAATCCTGAGATTTCTTCTTTTTTTTTTTCAGACCAAAAAGAAAAAAGAGCCAGTTTTCTCTCATTACTGTGATACCTGTGACCGTGGCTATAAAAACCAGGAGAAGTATGATGAACACATTTCACAGCATAAGCAGGTTAATGAGTTTGGCTTCTTTTATTCACACTTTGATTTTTTTTCCTTTGTGCCTGACAAACAGCTGTAGTCACTCTTTGAACAGCAGACATAGGAATAAGATTCCAGAGCTTTGTCAAGTATTAGTGGGGTATGAATGCTGTGTGTTGGAGAGGCTTCAGCTGTATTGTTTTATTACTGAAGCCTTTTAAACTGTTTTTCTTGTGAAGTATTACTAAGTCATAGGAATTAATTCATTGGCACCACTATAGCATGTGCAGTTTTTGTGTGGAAACATTTAAAAAATTTCCTTTATTGGAAAGTATCAAAATTTGCAAGTACCAAAATTTGAAATTGAAGAGTCTTGCAAATTTTTAAATTAGGTAAGCTTCACTTTCTCTTCAGTTATCAGATACATTGCCTACACCGGTTATTCTAAAACCAGACGAAATTTAAAAGTACATTATCCCTGCTTGCTGTTTTTACAATCACCTTTGTTAGCAAACAGGGGAACTTACACAGCCTGTGCAACAAACTGTACATGCAACTGGCACTGAGTTTATTTGAAGTGTGCTCAGAAGCTTGTTTATAATTTGTGTAAATTGGTGGGTTTTAAGTTCACCCTCTTATCTTGCAGTGCTCAGAAGAAGGTTGCACTTTCAGTGCCCATGAGAAGATCGTTCAGATACACTGGAAGAATGTAGGTAACCCTCTGGGCCCAAAATAGGAGTCTGTGCCATCTTTACCATAGCCCCTTTTCTCATTCTTCAGTGGTTTCCCTTCATTCATTTGGAAAGAAAATGTATCATCTCTGAGGAGTATCTGTTTCAAAACAATATTGTGGATGAAAATTTGTTAAATACTTTGGGGTTTTCTCAATGGATTCATTTTATCATCTCTGTGTATGCTCACACCAGTTTTGGAGGTGAAAACAGTGTGATACCACTATGCCTGACATAATGATGTTTTCTTTTTTAATTTGTGGGTTTTTTCCTTCCCCTTTTAAGCACCTGTAAAATACTTTTTCCTTAGGCACATGCCCCTGGTGCTAAAAGAATAAAATTAGATAGTCCAGAAGAGATTGCTAGATGGAGAGAAGAAAGAAAAAGGTAAGACTTCTGGCCTATGGAATTGTTTTATTGTATTTTCCCTATGTGAGCATGAGATGACAGCTGAAGGGCAGGAGCAGCACATAACTTGCTGTTTCTGCTGTTACATTGACCCTGGAAAATTCCTGCAGCAGTGATCTATGTCAGGATGCATGAACCAGGACAGTGTGAGCTGCAGAGATTATAATAATTTAAGAGATTATAATAGAAGGCAAGGTATCAGCTGAGAAGGAAGCAGCTTTCCCAGATGCTTGATGTGGTATCCCGGGTTAGGTGAATGTCTCATTCCTTTTAGCCTCACCACGGATCACATTTTAGGTCAGAAGTGTTTGTGTGGTGGTTTTTAATGGCTTAAAAATCTGGAACTACTGACTACAACTGTAATACTGTGTGCACACTTCCTCAGCTAAGTTGTCCCAGTTGACCACACCAGGCAGTTTTCCTAATTTTTAAGGGCTTTCTGTATTGCTTGATGTTTTTCTAATGAAAGAGAACGAAAACTGAATGATACTGTTCTCGGGTAGTCTAACTTACATTGTATGCAGGGTGCAAGGTAAAATTCTCCTATAAGCAGTATTTCTCACTTTTTCTTATCCTGTGATATAACAGGGTGTAGCTTTTATCTTGACCAGAATTGAAGTGTTTATCTCCCAGATTTGTTTTTTTTCCTTCAAAATTCAATGGATTAAAATCCACACTTTCCCAACAGGAGAAAGATGCTGCAGGCTTTCCTCACTTCTATTGATAATTTAGAATACAGTCTTGCAAGTGATCAGTGCATGAGTTTTGTTTCCACGAGCAAGAGTCCTGTATGCAGAATAGGAAGTGATATAAATTTAATTTTGAGATCAGTGGTGATGAGCTAGGGCAGTGTACTAGTCACATGGGGTTTTTTTAGTGAAAATAAAACCCAGTGGTCTGATGGAATCCTACTGATGTATCCACCCTGCATCCATGTCAAAAGACAATGTTAATGTGTTCTGGCTTTGAACTTCACTTCCCTTAATACAATTTTGCACTGTTTTTGTTGAAAAATAAAAAATAATGGAATTTATTGCAGAATTTTTTAACTGCCTTCCATCCATTTTTTTCCCCCTATATGGAGAAGCAAAATTTCTCCCCATGTAATTTCATTTTTGGAGGCTTTAATTTTTCTTTGGACATGGTTTCAGCTTTTTCTGCAAATTTCTCAAAGGCAAAAGGAAATCTTACCACTACGTCAGCAGCACATCACAGCAGTCAACTGTTGCACCTGCTGTTCATTTTTTACAAATGAAAATAATCCATAGGTTCTTAAAAAAACAAAAGAAAAGCTTTTTTGATTGAGAAACAAGAGATTATTTTCTCCCTTTTTGAAAATGCCATCATTAACCAGACAGAAATTGGTTGTGATCTCTGCAAATATAAGTTTGGTGTTAGATTAGGCAAGTTTTGGTGCTATATTAGTTCTCCTTCCAAGGTTTCCTTTTATTCAAAAGATGCTTGAGGGCTTGGTTTTTATTTGCTTTCAGTCTACATATTGCTGTTGTGGTTGTTTTTGGTGACCTAATTTTCTAATGTAACTCTAAGGAAGAAGATCCATACTCGTATGCAGTCTCTGAGGGAGGCTTTGCTACTCTTTTCCAACTTTTCATACACTTCTCTGTCTTGGGAAGTGTTCAGGAGAGTTCCTGTCCAGCAGCTGAGGCTGAGGTTTAAGTGTTGAAATGATGTTTAAGGTGTATATGTCAGTATGTGCTCTACTAGAGCATTAGGGAGGTGAAAATTGAATGTAAAATTATGGATATTGTTTGTGTGAGGAGTGGGTGCTGCAAATCACAGCAGCCTTTATTTACACTTAATTGTAAGGGTGATGCTCTGCCTGGGATGGTTTTGCTGAGCTTCTGAAGGATCTGATGTTGGTTTTAAAGGTGACTGTGATTTGGTGCAATACAGCATTGCTGAAAGCCTTTGCTCACTGCAGCACAGTAACATCAGGGGACATAAAGTCGTGTGGTCACAGGCACCAACCAGAAAAGGCAGAATGGGATTAGGACTGTCTGAGCCAAGGCCACTAGATGGAGTAGTGCATTATCTTGGTACTTCAAGCCTTCTGGGGCATCGTATTCAGCCCATGATGGATGGGTGTAGAATGACTACCTGGGTGGCTTTTGTTACTCTTAGTACAGCGAGGAAGCTCTATGAGCATCCTTCTTTCTTTTATTAAAAAAAAAGGGGGGGGGGGGGGGCATGGGAGGCAGGCAGAGAGAGAAAGCCAGCTGGAACTTTTGTGCAGCATTAATTGGGTCACCAGCAAAGCATCACTTTAGTACTGAAGGTCTGTTGTTGACTCACAGTAAACACTGCATTGTACAGAAAAGAGGGACACCAGAGGGAGTCTGAGCTATTAAGCAGTTTTGGTTTACAGTGACAGGAAAAAACCTTTTTCATTCTACAAGCTCCAATCAGAGCTAAGAATGAATCTTTTTAGGTCATTAATAGTTTGTTCCTAATTAGGTTGCCATGATTTAATATGTGTGTTTCCATGCTGCATCCTGTCTTGCTTGTTCTTTCAGCCGTTATAAATAATTACTTGCAGAGTTGAGATTTTTCTTCTTAATTAGCTGCTGTGTTGCTCAATTGTGTATCCTGCTTAAAATCTTCAAGAAAGAGCTTGTGTTTAAAGTGTAGCCTTACTCTCATAGAGGAAGGAGCAGGAGGAGAGCTGGTAAGGACCATCTCTGGATGAAGCATGCTGGATTGGAATGCTGTTTTCCTGTTGAACCTGCTGAGCCAAGAAATCTAATTAAGTAAAGAGCAATAGAGATGAAGTTCCATGGGATCTCAGGATTTCCCTGTGTTTTGCAGACAGATGGTTGTGAAGTCTGACATCAACTTTTCTTGTTTTGATTTGTCCTGTCCCTTCCAAGTGTTGAGAAATGTGCTGCCTTCAGCATATTTTTTCTTTAACATGAGCTTAAAGAGAATTATCTGCAATGCATTTCCTTAATGTGTCAGAATGAGGTATTGCTGTCTTCCCTACTCCACAAGTGAGATCTGGGTCCTGCCAGCCCATCTGTTTCTCACCAACATTTCTTGAGCAATGGTTATTAGCAAGAATGTGGCAAGGCTGTTTTAGTGTTAAAGCGAATCATTGAATTTACTTTTGCTTAGCTCCTAATATAACATTGAGGGATTTTCTTGAGCTTCTGTGTTGCTTGTAAATTCTCCCCTTTCTGCCCCACTTTCTTTATTTTCTTGGCATTGGTTTGTTCAGATAGGAATTGTCTGTTGTATTTCCTTGCAGTACATCTCACAGGCTGAGCATGTGCTTTGTGCTTGAAGTTCAGTACTGTTAATCACACCACTTCTAATTAATTTGTGGTTTTCTAGTTGCATAATGATAATCCTAAAGTAGTTTGGAATGCACCCTGGTGTTGTGTTCATAGTAGTGAAGTATCTAATATGGAAAATAATTTCTTGTAACTTGGTAAAAGTAGAGGAGACAAAGCAAAGTAGAAGGGATGTGTCAACAGATCAAGGTAAACATAGATGCAATAAAGTTTACTCTGATCTGCTGGAATAGATCATCAATGAAACTGCCTCAGCTAACATATGGTTAAATTAGATGTGGGAAAGTTAAGCCAAGATTTTATCAGCTCTGTTGGGTCATTTTTATTCCCTTTGGGCTATCCATGTCTCCTTTGCTGTTGGCTGTGCATATGCAATTAAGAACAGCTCAAGAAATTTTTGAGGCATTTTGCTCACCGTGCTGTTCCTAATAAAATGATGAACTTGTGTAGCCCTTGACTCAGGAATTCGTTGTATAAACTGCTACAGAAACAGGTCTCTTTTCTGTTAGATGTTGGCAAAGCTCTTTCACTGTTCTTTCACTGTTTCTTCACTGCTTGCTAAGAACTGCTTTACTCCAATGTTTATGAGAGCAAGATAAAGCATGCTGGCCTATAAAAAAATGCATGGCTCTGGCCAGTGTGTTCATTTATCAAAAAAAATCCATTCCCTAAGACACATGTGTTATTGATTAGGCTCAGTGTCACTGTTCCCTGTCTCTAGAAGCTTTAGGGTATCCTTTACCTGCATGTCTCACTTAGTTGGGATATATTTAATATACTCATCTTAACCTGAAAATCAGTTTTCTGATGCTATGAATTTATTTTGAAAGGTTTTGGATTGTGGAAGTGTGTACTGTTGGGAACTGCAGCTGCTATGAAAGAGGGCTGCCTTCTCAGGCTGTACTGGCTTCATGAAGTCTGCTGTGCCAGACCACCACATCCTGGTTTAACCCTCCCTTTTACAATAAGTTCCTTAGGTTTGTAAAGCCCTGTGGGGATGGATGAAGCTATTTGTATTCAAGCTCTGACAAGTTGTTTGCAAGGTATAAGTGCTGGGGTGCTTCTACTTCAGTGGTGTTTGTAGGTAACATTTTAGGAACATCATTTTCTTAGGAGAGGTGGAGGGCTTGCCATCTTAGAAGGGTGCAAACCCAAGTCAGTTCTTGGGATTTAAGCATATGGCCTTTTATGTGGAGGGACTCAGTCAGTAAAGGCGTGAGGTAAAGGCAGTGAGTAAAATGCCATTTAACATTTGAGAAGAGATGGAAAAGATAAACACAGCCACTACACATGCCTTCAGATGTGCTTCTGCAGGCATACTGGGACTTGTGACTTGAGCTCTCGCCAGCTGTCAGTTACTGCCTGTGTCAGCTGGAAGGCTGGTTGAGGAGAAATCTGTCAGCCTTGGCAGTTACATGGAACTGAAAGCCTTGGTGCAGTCCATTACGGTGGCTCGTGGAGGGAGTGGTAACTCACAGGAATGAAAGTGGGAGGCAGTCACGTCTCAAATCGTGTTGAGAGAGCATGTCTGAATATGTCCTTAATCAGCATAAGTGCTGGAGCATTTGAAGACTCCTTTGCTCTAGTATTTAGGGTCTTCCCTTATATTTAAAACACACTCCCCCCCTGCAATCTCTGCTGTAAGCTTGGGGATGTTTTGAGCATAACTACTTGTTTTATGGCTTGCTGTCCTCCTGGGAGCCTTTGTGTTTGAAGGAAAGCACCTTCTCCTAAAACTGTGGTGCACAGGGGTCTTTGTCAATGCAAAGCTTTTGAGATTAAAGAGTTCATTGCACATTTGCTGTGTGCTGGGAGTGTTGTAACATGGATGAACAAATCTAACTAACAGGGAGGAGCAGAGGTAAAACATCACATCCCTGTGCTCACTTGAGCTGTATGGCAGATTTCTGGGAGAAATCCAAAGAAAATACATGTTGACAGCTCATGTTCAAATCCTCTTGAAGAGGACTAGTTCTGTAGTGTGTTTAGGTTTGTCTTGTAGAAAAAGCTTCTCTTTTTCCCTTGGTACGTGGTTGACGCTGTCTTGAATCGATGTGACACTTAGCATTCATGCTGTAGTATGGGGGAAATGCATGTGATAAGATTAAATATTTAAAGAAAGATCCATGTCTTTTTGATAGCTATTTTTAGTGAGAAGCTGTTCTGTGTTTCTCTTTACTCCATTTTAATAGACATCAAATATTTATTCTTTGTGTTTCTATACAGAAGCTGGGGGACCATGTGCATGTGTTTCTCATTTACCACTTTTATCTCAAAGCCCTGGCATTTAGCTAACTAATGTTTGCAGAGGAAGTAGTTGCAGCCATTTTTGGGCTTTGATGGTAAAAAGCCTGCTGCCCAGGCTCTGTGTGTTACAACCAGTGAGACATTTGTCTGGAGGGAAGGATATTAAGGGAGGTGGGGAATGGAAGAGATGGGATGGGTTGGGAGATGGTATAACAGTAGATTTCTTTTCATCTGCATGATCTAGCAATTTTTCTTGAACCTGGAATTAAAAAGGGGCAGTAATTCTGGTGAAGTTGAGGTCAATGTGCGAGCACAATGCTAAATATTGCTCAAGAAGGAACTTGTGTGCTTTTCCTTGTCACATTAAAGGAATCTTGTGCACCCAGAAGCTGTTCATATAGTGGTTTGGTTTTTTTTAAGTTTAGAAGAACTCAGCAGTTAGTTTGCTAAAGGCATGTCATTCAAATAATCCAATTGAAGCTCCATAGTAATAATGTAGGAGGACTAAATCGTGCTGTAATATGTTGGGGCAAAGAGAGGGTCCATGACTATCACCAGACTATTTGTCTGTACCTTGCTTGGTAGTTTGGTAGATCTAAGAATGCTAATGGGATATTTTTAATTTTTGTTTTGTTTTGTTCATTGCATCTGGATATGTAAGCCTAAATGCACTCAGGTTTCTTTTCCTCACTAATGCTTTTTTAAGAAAGAAACAGTCTGTTGAACTTCATTGAAAAATTTAAAAATCTGTGATATTTATAGAGAAAGCAGATTTGGTAAAGGGGGAATTGAGAAACTACAGTGAATCCTTTAAGAGCCAGTGAAACTATTTTTTTTTTCCTTCTAGAAATTTTCCTACTTTGGCAAACATTGAAAGGAAGAAGGAAATGCAGACACAGAAGGAGGAAAGGGGAGAAGTGCTGACTACCCAGCAGTTTGGGTAAGTGTTTTGAAGGAAGCTTGTTGCTTTCTTCCCACTGAATCAAATGTATGCTTTCTTACTGTGGTCTCCCAGCACTTGCTGCTTCCACTGTATGCAGAATCTGGCTGCCCTTTAAGAGAGGACAGGCCATTTGGCAAACTGCTGATGTCATATTCTTTTGTTTACTTCATAGTGCTCCAAAGCACACTTCAGTTAAACAAAACAATAAGTACATGAAAAATCTGGTACTCTGGCTTGTTTGAGAATGCCACTTTCTAGTGGCCATTCATTACATAGCATAACTTTGGTCTCTGAAGAAGTAGTAATGGGGGAAAAAGTCATGCAACAGAATGATTCCACATGATTTAATTTTTTATTATCTGAAAAAGGCCAGCAGAGATTTTGTTCTTACTCTCTCTCCTTTCTGATGATAAATCAGTAGTCAAGTGAAGAGGGGAAGAAGATAAAGATGATGGAGGGCAGTAAAAAGAAGGAGCACTACCTAAGTTATAACAAAAACCATATGAAAATAAAGTTAAATCTATCTGCTACCATTGTTCTGAGCTAGTGCTTACTCGTCTTGGATTTTTATCTGTTCACTGCCTTATGAATTATTTTCCAGCATGGTTTTGTTCTTCTCTCTCAATTTCATTGTTAGGTGGAACCAGCTAACTTCATTAGCTCTGCTTTAGGACCTGTGGGAAGATTGGTTTTTAAAAAAAGTTGTTAAAACGAGCCACACTCCTAAAATATCATTTGATTAAACTGGAATGACTGAGCTGGAAGGCAGGAGTAGACTCAGTCCTAAGGGACTCTTGCTAAATGCCATTTTCTGCCACATGGAAGTGCAGATGGGGTTTGACTAGCTTTTTGTGTAGGGGATGACAGCAAACAAACCAAAACTTGCTAACTTGCACCATGGAAAAATAGTTGAGTTAGTGCAGAATACGAAGTTAGTGTAATTTATTAAATGTGGACAGTGCAAATTACCTTGTTGCAGCATGTTCTTCAGAAGATCCACTTGCCTGCCCCCACTTAACCAGTTGCCTTTCATGCCTGAAAGGAAAGGTTTATAGAAGACTGAAGAAGTAAAACTTCCTTTAAAGGATATAAAGTTGCAGGAGTGCTTTACACCCAAGGAACCAAACCTGGACATTGAAACTCAGGCTGCAAACATATATATTGTATATATAACATATATATTATGACATTTCTTTGTCACAGTAACAAACTGTGGTTTTATTTGCTAACTTTTGTAGCTGTGAGTCAGATGCATCAAGTAGCCTTAAATGTCCATCAGCAATTCCATGCTGTTACATTTGTTAGGGGGTTTGTATCTAGAAAAGTGTTTGGGGAAAAAAAGCCCTCAAAATTGCAGGTTCGTCACTTCTATGTAACAACTTTTTATTCTAGTTCATTCTAGAAATCTCTTCTTTTTCTTTTCTCCCTCCCCTTAGCACTCTACCCTTGGTGAGCTGTCCATAATCTGTCATTTCTGCTTTGTATATCATCAGTAAAGATTCTGCAATTGGTGCTTATCTGGCAAATTTACTGATGTGTGAGGAAAAAGTAGAATACAGCTTGTTCCCTGCAAGCTGTACTATTAAAGCAAATGGCTAAGGAAGATTTAGAAAGGATTAGATGCTTAACACTTCCATGGTGCTTTTCATTTGTGGTTGTCTGAAGTGCTTTGCAACTCCTAAGTCTCAGCATCCCTGTGTGAGATCAGAGATGCAGAAGGACCACTTTGGAAGCCTGTCTGGTGTCTCACAACACCTGAGTAATAGTGCACAGCTCTCCATGCCCTCTGCATGGAGAGTGAAGGGCAGGATGTCTTCCACAGGGGAATGGCAGAAGGCAGATATCAGGCTGGTGTTTGCTGGGACATGTTTTTGACCTTGAGGTTTCTTTCTGGGTGTTTGAGGCCCCAGAGAATTTAGATGGTTGGTTTTAACCCTTGGCCAAGGACAACAGCTTTAATTAACCCCGTATTTGCTCAATATCTTCTAGGTTGTACAACATGCTGAATTTAGAGTATGGCTGGACAAATTCAGAAATGCAGTTTTCTCTCTTGTTGGAGTTGAATCATAGGAGATAATATTAGCCTTTTGTGGGTGAGGGACTGATGCACAGGAAGGCAGTGGCTTGCCACTTGTACCACAGGAACACTGTGGTGGGTGATGCCATCAGGGATGAGCAATCAGTGTTAGACACTGTCGTGAAGTGACTGGAGAATGAAATTAAATATGTTTTGCTGTGATATAAAGTAATTTTGTGTGCTATGACTGGCCTTGTTCTCCTCTAAAGGAGGACTTGATAAAGCCAGAAAAGCATGGAAGAGAGGAATGCTGGTAACAGGAACATTTCTGAACAAAGTAGTGGGTGGCTTGAAAGGGCTGTGTGATGGAGACCTAGAAAGATTGCACAGGTGGGAGAGGTGAATAAAGTGTAGTTATACACTGATTCTTGTAACTCAAGAAGAATGGGTTACTAAATGACTTGTTTAGACCTCAGAATGAAGACAAACAAAAGAAGTCCTTTGTCACAAAATATTAACCTTGCTGCAAGATTTTAGCAATGCCAGACATGAACACAGCATCCCACATGAGGGATAATAGGACCTCAGCTGTGCTGGAGGTGAGGCTGAGGCAGGGAGGACTGATCAGAACAAACCATGGGGCTCATTAAGGACAGGAGATCTTGTGTAATTTTTGCTGTTGTAATGTACTGATGATTAGTTACAGTCCTGTTTTCCTGAATTAAGTTTCTGTTGCTTGGAAATAAATATTTTCAGAAAGCTTCAGCTGTCCCTTCTATATTTGCTTTTCTCTCTTGGTCACATTGATTCTTATATCTATAGAATTCAACCAGAGTTTAAGCTTTCCAGGTGTCTTCCTATAACATGTGTTTATAGGACAAACCTGGAAGATAATGGAGCTGTGAAAGATAAGTGGAACCAGCATGCTGTGCTCTTCCTGTATTTCAGGACTTGTTCTTTTGTTTCAGGTCCTAAAAAATGCATTATTCTGATGGACATTTCTTTTATTCCTTTTCCTTGGAATGGGAAAGATGAATGGCATGTTGGTTGGAGGCGGGAGTAGGTAGTCATTGCAGCTGATGGTGTCAGATGGCTGAATGGATTTGGTGCAGCAAGATGCTTCTCAGAGCTGTAACTGGAAAAAAGAGACTTCAGCAGTGAAAGAATGTTTATAGTAGATGCTTTCCTTATAACTTCATGTTGCCTCTGTTTTGAATGGCTTTAATGTTTAAGTGAAGATTTGTTGACTTTGTTATCTGAAATGAGAACGCCCTGTCCTCACACTGCCGGTTATCGAGGAGCTTTCTTAGCCCATGTACCCTTGGCCTTGTTGAAAACTAAAAACTAGAAGGCATGAGATTCAAACTGTTCATTCAGTTCCTGCTTTGTCCCATTGCCCTGCCTGAGATGAGGTGTGACTGATTTTATGGTCTGTCACCTCGTGTTAGCTGAGCTGGTGTAAGTCCTGGCATCATTCTGTGTTGCTGAACCTTAAACAAGGGCCTGAGCTATCTGGTTACATCAGTTGTTTTTATTCTCGTAGCTTATCATCTGTATGAGCTTTCTGTTTCTATTCTCCAGCAAAATGAAGGGGATGTGGAAACCTCCAGAAAATGGAGAAGCTCTTGGGCATCAACGAAGACACAGGAGAAGACAATGGCGTCCATTCTGGAAGAAATTTAGGAAAAATGGTGGCGATTGTCATGGACCTAAAACTCAAAATGAAGCCAATGGACCAGAAAACAGCACATGTGAAAAGGAACGTGAAAAACAAAATGCTTTGGCAGGCCAAGCATATGAGAAAGACGTGGACCCTCTTGGTCTTCTGGCAAATGGTGATGTCGGTAAGATGAAGGGGAACTTGGAGAAGTTTTATTTTAAATGATTGTTTTAAGTTTAGATGCTGAGACTTTGTGCTTGCTAGTCACCATTTTGGAAGTCTGACATGAAGTTTTGTGCAGCGTTGCATGTTCGGATGTAAATATTGTACAGTAGTCTAAAGGCCACGCAGCACCAACATAGGTTGCTAAATTAACATAAAAGAGATAAGAAAATACTTATAAAACCAGAAGAAGATGAAATACTTGAACAGCCAAATTATTTTTAAAGACTGTTAAATATCCCTTTGTGGTTTTGAAAGCAACAGTATTTAGAAAGTGAAAACAAATGGATTTCCTTGTATGAGTTAAGTGAATTACTTAAAATGTCAGTATTTTACTTTTAATTCTGTTCTTTGCTGTATTATTACTCTTGATATTCTCCATATGTGTGTGTACTTTGAAGTATTCCTGCTTAGTTTTTTGGGTTTGGTTTTTTGTTGGGTTTTTTTTTGTGAGCACGTCTTGTTTCCTCATGCTGGCAGCAATACAAATTCTTCAGATCTAACTATTTATAATATAGTCAGCAGTACTCCTAGAATATGGCATGTAAGCTGACTTATACTCTGGCTATTTTTAGCAACAAGGGTAGAATAGATTCCCTGGAAAGACGTCTGATGCTGAGTTTTTCCTCTTGAAAACATAATCTTCAATTAGTGAGAACAAGAACTCAGCATCCCTATGCAATTTGTTTACTCCATTAATCTTTGCGTGTTGGGAAACTTAAGTATGCTTAAATATCTCTATATTTCCCTGCAGCATTTGTGTTTTACTTAATGATAAAAGGTCTAATTATGCCAAAGTACAGCTAGTGACCTCTCTTACAGTAGGTAGAAAAGGAATGTGGTCACCCTTAATTAAACAATATTAAAGCTAGTTGCAACTTTTTATACAATTGAGAAGGATAGCCAGAACAAATAATAACAAACACAATATAACTAAGTAGAATTTAAAAAAAATTATACAGCCCAAATCTATGATTTTACTGAATAGGTGCATCTTTTTGATTCTCCTTTCTTTTTTTTTTTTAATTTCCCCTGATTGGCTTCTAAATCCTTCTCCTCCATCTCAGAACTAAATCCAGCAAGACTTCAAAACGTATTATGAAATCCTCTCTCTCTCTTTACCTACACTCAATAACAAGACTTATAATTCTATTTGGTATGCAGAGGAGGAAGCAGAAAGCTCACGTTTCTGCTGCCCAGGTGTGTGTGGTGCTGAGATGGGGATTTGGCAGCAAGGCTGGCTGTTGGCAGGATTGTTGGGAAAAATCCTTCTTGCCTTTTCTTTCCCTGCAGAATCTGACAAGGATGAGGCAGCTGAGGAGGATGGAAGGCTGGGAACAACAGTTGTCCCCAGGCAGGTCACCTCTGCCCTTAGCTCGCTGTCGGTCAACTATGGCAGCGCATCCGACAGTGAGCCCGAAGGTGTGTGGAAACGACTTCTGCCCTTCTCCTCTCCCCTTCTGCCCTGTGTCACGCTGCAGTGACGGGGGCTGCAAGCAGGACTGTGGCTTTTTTTGCTGTCCTTTTCTCAGTAGCACATCCTGGGTCGAGAGAGGAGGCATAAAATGTCTTTGATTAAGTTGTGTGTTGTCAAATTTCCCAAGTCTTTTCTCCCCTAGTTGGGGGAAAATAAGGAACCTGTTTCCAGTCTTGCTTCAAATCTTGTTTGAATAGTGCCAGGAAAAAGCTGTTATTGTCACTCCATGAACTAATTTCCACATCCATAAGGGCTTTTTCCATAGAAGGCTGCTGGCTGTTGCAATAGGACTTGAACTCTCTGTTACTTGTATTTTGTGCTTCTCTGACTGTATGCATCAGTGGATGGTGAGGGATTGCTGCTGCTGCTTGTTTTTGCGAATATTTACTAAGCCCTACTTGCTCTGGGTGTCCTACCCAAAGTTAGAGAGCATCTAGCAGACAGTGATTGAACTTGGGCATCCTCTGCCCTAACTATGTCATGATTTTCTCGGCAGCCAAATTTGCAGCAAGCTATAATGTGAAGCACGGTACTTCTTAAGTGATAAGAAGGCAGAGGTTTGAAAATCTCAATCAGGTGTTATTCCTTTTATTTTTCTTTTTGTGCTGTAGAATCGAAATACCTTGTTTTCCTTTCTGTGAATATTTAGAGATTATTCTTTGTATTTAGAAAGAAAACCCAAACCAAACAAAACCCTTCCTTCCTCCAAGTAAACCTTGAATATCTTCGCATCAGGTTGTGTGAGCAAGAATAGTACTAACGAACTGCCAGTGCATGGGGATATGAGCGTGTTGAAGAGGCTTTTAAGTTTGAGATGAAAGTGTGTTCTTTTTCTTTAAGAAATCCCTGTCAAGACTGCAACAAAAGCTGAGAGAAACCAGGCTGTGCTCAGAAATACGCCTCAAACTACTCCTGCTCCTCAGAGTCGGAAACCAAATCAGAGGCGCCCAGAGTGCGCAGGCACGGCATTAAGGAGCTCGAATTCAAACGCACGTCCCCCCAGAGGGCCTGATAAGCGGGGCAGGAAAACATTACCTCGCCTTCCCAAGCGCCGTCCAACTCTGCTGGAAATGGTAAGAGGCTAAGATAATGCCTCCTGTGCAAGAGTAGAACTGTTTGGGAATGTTTCTCCTCTTCCCTGCGGGAAGTTAGAGCAGTCTGTTAGCACAGGGTCTGGCTTAAGAATAGTAAAGGGAGCGTTTCATTTGGAGGAGGTGAAGATGCTTTAATAGACAAATAGAAATACCCTGGCATGCATTCAGGTAACAACTCACTTTGGTAAGCAAGAGATGACAATGAATCACGTGTCTGAAATGAGCTGCACAAGGAACAAAGCCTTTGTTCCCCTTCCCTTCCCTTCCCTTCCCTTCCCTTCCCTTCCCTTCCCTTCCCTTCCCTTCCCCTCCCTTCCCCTCCCCTCCCCTCCCCTCCCCTCCCCTGTGGCAGTATCCAGTAGGTTTGGGTTGTATGTAATCCCAGCAGCCATGATCTGATCTTTTTGCTTCCAGCTTTGCTGTTCAGCCACCTTCCTCTGCTAGAAGACCATACAGTACTTCTTGCACATGCAAAGAAATCTAGTTGGGAAGTGTGTTGGTGGCTTAAAATACAGAGTGGTGTTTAGCTGCAACCTGTTTGTAGCAGGGTTTCTTCTCTGGGCATGTTTTGATCAATCTAAGGAAGGGACAGCACCCTGAAGAGCAGCAGGTTGGTGTCTCAGAAGGATAGAAGGAGATTTGTTGGGGTGAGTCCAAGGTATTCCCAGTAGCAGTGCAGAGCAACCCATTTGGCCACAAAGCTTGGTGTCTTTCTTTAGAAAGCTCTGACAAAACCTTGGAGCTTTTTATTGTATTTATTACTCAAAAGCAGTACTACTCTTGTGATTCTATAAATGGCATAAAGCTCCTCCATCAAGGGAGAACTTGCAGTGGGCAAAAGACAGGAGAAAGCAGGGTGTCACTGACATCAGAGCTCTGAAATAGCACAGGATGTTTCAGCAAGAGATACCTGATAAGGTACAACCCAAGCTGCTGATGTGGGAGAAATCCTTTGGTAGTCTTTTTAGCACAGAGTACCATTGCTCCCAAGAATTAACGTTCCTAGAGACTGACAAGGAAGTGTTTGTCCCTTGTGTAGCTCCCTAAGCATGAAGTTGCCTTTCTCACTTGCTCTTCAAAGTTTTTGGTGATCAAAGCAGTGACGACTCTGGAAGGAAGTCAGATGAAGTCCCACATACTGAGAGAAGCTGGCAGTACATAGGAAACCTGAGTTGAAGCTTGCCAGTGTAGTCCATTTCCACTAAAATTGCATTTTAGTGAGTTTTTTTACCTTTTCAAATTGCTCAGAGTTGTTTTTAAAGAATGTGTACTGTGGCTGTGAATCACAGAGGAGGGCCTGAGGTTTGCAGGTAGGCTTCCACTGTCATTAAAAATGGTTAGTGTGCAAAAACCTTGAGAGGGAGTGAGGTTGAAATTTTGCAAAACGGATCCAAAAAGTGCTTTAGAATGCTAAAAAAAGGTTGTTGTATCAATGATGCTTTAAAAAAAAACCAAAAGTGAGGTAGGAGAATAGCTGCAGGTATCTCTTAGCAGTCATTTGGCAGTGAGCTTGGGCACTACAAAAACATGTTTATTATGGACATGCAAACACTAATGTGTATTTAGTCATTCTCTGTGCTGACAAAATCAAAAGCTTGTGTACTGTCACTCCACTGATACCCATCCCTGCATTAAAAAATCAACTACAAAGATACAGTCTTTGATAGGGTAATTTCTGCTGCCCTGCTGGGCCCTAATTTGGCCATTTGGGAATTCACCAGTTTCTCCCAGTCAAACAAAGAGAACATCACTCTGTCCCTTGTTTGCCCTGAAGTACATCTCCTATCTAAGTATTTTTACTTGCTAAGTAAAAATACTCAGGCTTAAAAGTGGCTGGTTAAACCACTGTTTAAACTTGTAACAACAAAAAATGCTTCTTGGCGACATTACTAGCCAAGCTTAGCCAAATCTCCTGCAGTGTGTAATACAGCTCTACTGCAACTGATCAGGTAGTTACAAATTTAGCCTCTTGGCTCAGATTTTGTTTGTTCATACTACTAGTTCTGCTGACACTCACATTGAAAAAGGTTCATTTGGCTCTCTGGCTGATAGGTTTCTTTTTCCTACTACCAAAGTGAACATTAATGAGGTTGAAGTCAATGAGGAAGGCCTCTAGCACATTGATTAAGCTACTAGAATTAGGTTGGTGTATGTATTATAGCCCAGACCAGTTACTGCTGTTTAAATCTATGGTCTGGTATCTGATGAAAGATGCCCTTTCCTTGTATTTATCTTTTACTCATAAGGGGTTTAAATTAAAAATGCATGGGATATGAAATTGCAGATACGGTATAACTTAGAAAGTGTGAAAAGTGATAATAGACCTGGTACTGGAATGCATGGCCTGGTATCACAGTCTGTGATTTGAGAACATCATTCTCTGGTATAGCAGTCTCCAGCCCCATGTGTCCAGGACCTGTGTGAGGGACCCAACTGTTTAACTTGAAAGATGTTGGAAATCGCTGATATTGCTATGCTTGTATCAGCTACAGAGCAATAGAGGGAAATGTGCATCATCTTCTCTTTTTTTTTAATTTCCAGTTACTGGCCCAGGACATCCGGCACGAGAGGAATGTGATTTTGCAGTGTGTTCGATACCTCATCAGAAATAACATGTTTGGACTTCATCTTAAAACAGAACCACATGCTGAAGCAGAAACTGAACAGTCCCCTACACCTGCAGCAGAGCCTTCTATGGAAAAACCTGATGAATCTAGTTGTTCTTGTAGCTCTGACCTTCAGTTAGAAGGAGGACAAGAAGATGCATTATTAATAGCCCAGGGTGAGAAGGAACCTGTGGATCTGACTTCACAGGTGGCTCAGTTGGCAGATGAGGACACGTGGGAAACCCCATCAATTCAGTGTGAAGGAGCACCGTAGAGGATGTCTCTTTTGGACAGTAAAGGCTCACATTTTCTACTCAACTGATGCTTTTTGAAAGACATCAGTGTAACAAAAAATCGTTAAAGTACATACTGAGAGCTGTTAAAACCACTTTCCTAATCTGTTCTGCCCTAGGTGGCCATTTCCTTGGAAAACATGTTGAGTAGTTCCATATCCACATGGCACAAAGGCAGCAGTGGCACAGAGTATGACCTTCCCTAGAGTAGATGCAGATCCCTGCTCTAGAGCTTCAGAGTTCTGAGTCTCTTACCTTCTTATGAAATGTGTGTGAGTCCATCCCCAGAGCCAAGTAGGATGGATTTTCTTCATGTGAAGTCATGGTCCTGTGTGTGTGGAGTATTTTGAGCGTCCAGAAGTATTTCAGTGTAGTTTCAAAATGGCAATGCAGTGCACACATTGTTTCACTTCAGGTTTTACAAGATATATCCAATATAAATATAATATAGCCAGTGTAAAATATGGAAGATATAACTGACCTGTCTCAAAAGGTACTGCTTCCACCAGGAGCCTCTTCCTCCCTGAATTAAGTTGTTAATTGAGCAGAGAAATGGAAATGAGGGTGAAGGTTTTATTTATTGAAAAAAAAAAAAAGATAAACTGTAACTGCTTGCATCAGTGCTGGGTTGTTGGTTGAGCTCAGGTACCCAGTATTGAGCTTTAACTTCTGTTACAGTTATTGCCTGACAAATTAACTCCTGAAGCAAACCCTCAATATCATTGTCAAAGGTTAGAAAGCTTACCAAGAGTTACTGGTTACATTTTGCATATACATTGGGAATTTATTGGTGGCCTTCTGGAAGAATGCCTTGATACATTGTTACAATGCTCCTACAGCGCCCAGAGATTGGTTTTCTTCATGGGTTTGTGCATATGTCCATAGTGTTGTGTGCACTGAAAAAGAAGCATCAGCCAAGGTTTAGAAACAAATTTAGTCTTTTGGTTATATTGTGCATTTGTTTGTCAGAATGCTTCTTATTAGGGGCAGGTGTTAGTTTGTCACATTGACATGGAAAACACACCACAAAAATAATCTGTTCTCAAAACCTCCACTTCAGAACCTGCTCTTTGTCTTTTAGTCATGGTTAAATATTGCCATTAACTCTCAGGGACTGGCTTATTTTCTTTTTCTTTGGTAGAAGTCTAGCCTTCCATTTCACCACCTGAAATAGGGAGACTCACATGGGGTATTTTTATTGCCTAATAGCTATATTTTCTTTCCTTTAGTTCCTTAACTTGTGCCACACATCTCATTTGTGGAGTGTAGGAAACAAGAGCTAGTTGAAAATTCTATCCTGCTGCTCCGCTATTTATAACTACAACTGCATATTGTGTTTGTAATGCACTGTCTAAATTTATGGAATTATATAAATACCAACACCCTTGTAAAAGTTGTGTGTCTCAAGGATATATGTGCAGAATAGAAGCAGTGATCATAAACATTTATATTTCCAAGGCAGATGATTCATTCTTCCCATGATGATCTCACGAGCCATCTCAATCTCACTGACTTGCCTCTGGCTCTTACAGTTTTACTGCAATGAAAATACCAACCAAGAACACTCAGCCACGGAGATCTGGCACTCGAGCAGAACCTGGTTTCACAGTGGAGTAGTACCAGTGCTGTTGAAAGCATAAGTAACAGCTGCAGGAAGAGAAATGGATGTCTTAAATTTGCTATTAAATTGCACTTTAAACAATCCTGTGTCCTATCAAGGTGATGGCAGAGCTTTCTTTGACTGTACTCTTTGACCTTGTGTTTAAAAATACAAAACCTTTACCAAGAATTCTTTATACTGTTGTCACTATGACTTAAGAATATTAAACTTTCACACAAAACCAAAACCTTTGTCAGAATTTTTTTTTAGTCTGTTTCAAATAGATAGAGAGAAGTAGGTTTCTTTATAGGGGGATAAACCAGAAGTTTTAACCAAGGACTTGTTGCATACATGAAGAACTGCCATTTTTCTCATAACAAGCCATTTCTGCCAACTCATATAGCAGCTATTTGGAGACAGACACTGCAGTGATGTCAAACCCTGAATTGCAGTCTTGGTCAATGGTAGGAGGTCTCTGTCCTTTCCTCTTCCCCCACTTCTGTTTTTGTGCTCTTCCAGACCATGTTCACACTTCACAGACCCCTTCCTGCTTATCAAGATTGTGCTTTCTTAGTACTTTGGATTCAGCCTTTGTATAGGGAAGCTGCCACGATGACCTCTGGTACTCTCAAATGCCTGCAGGCTTTTCTGGTCCCTGCAGTTTTATCTGCTCTGGGTTAGCAGAGGTGGGTTTTGTTCACTTGAATAAAATACCTCTCTGTGTCTGTAAGAAGAGCCTGTTGTTTCCGGCATGCTGCTGGAGCCAGTGCTTTGTGTAGCTTTTTGCTTTTTCATTGTCTTGATTTGGGGTGGTAGTTTCTTAAAGTTTTTTTGGTTTTTTTTGCAGTGTTATTAAGAAAAAAAGAATCCTACTGCTCAGTCTTTGTGACTCATTTTAGATAAAAATATTCCAGTGACAACCTTCACACTTCTGAAATTTTATTTTTTATCTTTCTTCTTTTATAACTTAGCTACTGAAATTGTAGTTGTAGGCGTCTAGTTTAAATTCAGTTCCCTTGGGCTTTGCTGGTTTTTGTTTGTTTTAAACCCATCTCACCTACTGAGCTAGAAGAGTGGAGAGAGGGAAGAAAAAAATGAGGACTACTCATTTGTGGAGCTGCAGCTTAGGCAATTGAGGCTTGCCTCTGAGCAAAATCCTTTGTGCTACAACACAGCTGCTCCCGGGAGAGTAAGGGAAACAAGTGGTGTGTGCATTTCTTACCTGTGACTCCTTGATCAGTGAGGGCTTTTGCACTGATTTTACACGTTGATGTTGCAGTCCTTGCACTGAAAGCTCAGGAGAGGGGGTGGTTTGATTAGCCCTGCACCAAGGGGAGGTGCTGTCCCTGCTGCCAACACTCCGGTCCTCTGTGTCACAACCGGGTGTCCCTCGTGTTTCCCCTTGTTCCTGTGACTGCTAATCCAAGTCATGTGGTGCAGTCATTATTCAGAATGACAGTCAAGCAGTCCTAGCAGATCTTTGGTGTTTGAAAAATGTTGAGAAATAAATACAGGCTCTTTGGGCTCGTTGTTTTGTCAAAGGTAGAAATCTGCACTGGAATGCTGCATTCCCCAAGCTGTCTATCCAGCATACTGCGTTGTTCTATCTGTGAAAGCACAAGACTATTGGAGAAAGTTCATGAGGGCTGGAAAGAGAACAAGTGTCAGTTCAGGAGGATCTCAGGCCCTACAGGCTCATCAGCTTCATATTGACCCCACTGAAGGTGAAACATATGAGCCTAGAAACTATCTCCAGACATAGTAAAGACAGTAATAAAATGGTTTGGTTTGGAAGAAGCCTTAAAGATCATCTGGTTCCAGCCCTCTGCCATGGGCAAGAACACCTTCCAGTAGACCACATTGCTCAGAGCCCCATCCAACCTGGCCCCTGAACACTTCCAGGGATGGGGCATCCACAGCTCTTCTGTGCAAACTATTCTAATGCACACCACCCTCACAGTAAAGAATTTCTTCCTAATATCTGAAATACAAGAAGGTGGTTGGATTTAGCCAGCAGTGTTTTATGAAGGAGAAATGCTTTATCACATGGCTAGTCTTCTACAGAGAGATTCCTTGCTTGATTGGCTGAGGAGAGGGCATTGGATATTGCTCATTGTAGATTTGACAAGGCTTTAGATGCTGTGTCCTATAAAATCCTTATTGGTAAGGTATGTGTTGGGTAGGTGGATAATGAGGTAGATTGAGCACTTGCTGAAGTGCCAGGCTGAAGGGGTTGTGATGAGTCACCAGCAGGTTGGAAGAAGTGATCCTTTCTCTCTGTTCAGCACTGGTGATGTCCATCTGGAGTGCTGGGTCCAGTGCTGGGCTGCCCAGGAGAGACATGAACATACTGCAAGTCCAATGCAGGGCCACAAAGGTGATGAAGGGATTGGAGCATCTTCCTTATGGGGAGAAGCTGAGAGAGCCTGGAGAAGAGAAGGTTCATGGGGCTTTTATCCATGTGGATAGCACCTGATGGGGGAAGTAAAGATGTAACCAGGATTTCCTCTCTAGTGCCCATGGACAAGACTTGACAAAAGCACCCCTGATGGAAGGAAATGCAGGAAATTTCTTTTAAATATCTGAAGTAATGTTTTTACTGTGAGAGGTGTCAAACACTGGCATGGATTGCCCAGATATGTTGTGGCATGTCCATCCTTGGGGATATTCAAACCCTGATGGGATGCAGCCCTGAGCAGGTTGTGTGGGTGAGAGTTGGAGGATGACCTGCAGAGGTGCTCACCAGCCTCAGCTGTGCTGGGACTCTGCAGGCTGAAGTGGATGTGCTGCTCAGATTTGCTTGTTGGTGCAAAGCATCTGCTGTGAAGGCACTGTCCCTAATGAAACGACAGAGCAGACAGATCCCACGGGCTGCCCTGCCTGCACAAGGCTGATGGACTGCATCAAATATGGAAGAGAAGCTCCAAGCTCAGCACCTGCGACAGCTGACACAAATCCATGGCCTACATTTGTCCCTAGTCTTTGTCCTTGTGCAACCTTGAACTTCAGCTCTGTGCATCATTTTGCAGAGAGGGATGCTAAATCCAACACTTTAACTTTCCCTGCAGTGCAATTTGAGATGGATGAATGAAAAATGCTGTGTAAGTGTTGGGTTTTGCTGTTACTTGGTGAGGTGAAAAAGAGTCGTGTTGGTCTGGGTATTCACTGGTGTAGTCTGGGAGTGCTCAATACCTGAAAGAAACTCCCACTCTCCCTACTCTTCATTACTCTTCTGGCTTATGTTGTGTGACTCTCTTCCTAAATTGTCTTCTGATTTCTAAATATACCCTTCAGGGGGTGGCTCTTGTTTGGCAAGGCAGCTTTCTTGGCAAGGCATAAATTTTCCATCCTTTTTGTATACATAAAGGAAGCTGTATAGCCTATGTATGAGCATGGGCTCTTGTATGACAGAAACACCAGCTCAGTAAAATAAAACTTTGTGTGCTGAGGAGTATCTGACATGTCAAAACCTCCAAGTGGTCATAGGAGCAATTGTTTTGGGTGAGGGGAAATCCAGAGTAGATTTAATTTTCTTTCAGGTTGACCAAGTCTTAATGAAAACACTGATATGAGTACTTGTTGGGGAAAGAGAAACAAGAAATTGGAACAAGTGCAATGTGTAGTTGGAGGGAAACAACAAGTTTGTTTTCTATTTGTCACAGCAAGCCATGTACTGAGTTGTTAAACCTGCTTCCCCCCCTCCAGTCTCACCATATTGCTTTCTAAACATGGGCTGATGTGCTTGAATGGTGTAAAAGTATATCATTGGCACTGGGGAAGCTGAAAGAAAATTGCATCAGTATTTGTCTATACTGATCCACACTCTCTTGACTAGTGGATATCTGTTCAGAGCTGGGTGCCTTTTGAACTCTATTTCTTTGGCAAACAGTTGGGGTGAAATAACTAGATTTCCCACTGGACTGACTAATGGATGGATCTGGGCAAAAAGGATAATTTTTCAGTTCCAGAAATGGCCTGAAACATGCCAAAGTACACCT